TTTAATTAAACTGCACACACACACACACACACACACACACACACACACCTGAAGCCGGCTCCTCCAGTCCGCAGCGCCGGCGCCCAACCTGAGGGCCGGGGCTCCTCTGAGAGGTCATCAGGAACTTCATTCAGGAGGTTGTCGGCTTGAATACCAGGAAATTACATCCTGGAATGACCTGGAAAGTCTTTAGAAATCCCTCCAGGACCGAATAAAACCCAGAGACACATTGTGAAGGAAACGTCATCATCAGTTGAACCGCTCTGTGGAACGGCGTCTTCTACCTGTTCCACTGACAGCACTGGTTTCTATTGTTCTACCAGTGATAAACTACATGAAACCAGTTAGTTCTCAACCTCAAGACCCCCGACTGTCAGGGTCTGTCCTGTCTGATAAACCCTCTGTACATGTGACCAGGTGAGGTCCAGGTTCATGTCGGGGTAGAGAGAGAGAAAGAGAGAGGATGAAGGTCAGGAGGACGCTGTGAGGTCAGAGGCATTTATAACCCCGAATGAATCCTGATGGGATTCAGTCCTGAGCAGCTTCAGACCCCCAGAGAGCCAAAAACACAATCACAATAATTCCAACCTCGGGGGGTCGGATTTAACCCCCCCGTCATTATTTACACGCTTGTTAATAAGAAATGAAAAACTGCAGCGTGAAATCCAAAAACACACACAGGACGACAGCTGATGAGTTCATTTAGTGACGGTGGCGTGAAGACGGGAAGGAGTGAATGCCACCGTTATCACCGAGGTGCACTAACTGGTGTGGTGCGTTCAAATGCTACAACAGGAAACTAGTGTGGTGTGTTCAAATGCTCCAACAAGAAATTAGTGTGGTGCGTTCAAATAACAGAGTGTGGTAGGCCAGAAATCCTGGACTGAGTTTTACTCCGTTTATCTGGCCGCTACAGTCGCAGTGAGTCAGAACATTAAGATATTATTATCCAGTACAGTCTGTTCCTCTGGAGGCAGGACGCTGATAATCACCTGGAACCAACCCGGGACGGACTACTGAATGCGCCGAGACCGCCAAACTGCTCCAGAAAAACACTCTATAATACACTATACACTATATTTGTATCCAATCAGAAGTGAAAACTGGTGTAATTGTTCTTTCTCTCTTTCCTGTTAAATAAAGGTAATTTAAAACGTGGTGCGTTCAATGTCAGTTTTCCTTTTAGGTTTATGAGTTGAAAGTAATTTATTTTAGTTCTGTTGGGGAACCGGCTGGCTCTGACCCCTGTAGAGTGTAGGACTGTGGGATACTCTGACAACCTGCTGTCTTGTGTTTGTTGCAGGTAAAGATGGGTGGAGCCAGCGGACCTGATGTGTTGAACCTGGTTCTTTAGGCTGGTTCCTGGTTCTGTTGTCCTTTAGGTTTGGGTTCCTCTTTGTGTGTCTCCTGACAGATTCTCTTCGATGTGTTCGAGCTTGCTGTCAGTTTTATTTTATTTCTGGAAGGTTTGGAAGTTCAGAGGTTTTTATTTGTTCTGATATCAGACATAGAAATAATAATTGAGAAGGTCCAGCAGCAGGCCAGGTTTGGGTCTCTGGTTCACTGACAAATAAAATGTGTGAATAGTTTACTTTAAAAGGTTCCTTCTTTACATCAGTTGACAGATTCTTCCTGGTTCCTGCTCAGGTCACGAGCCCTCCTCCTCTGTAGAGTGTTGCATTGTGGGATGTCTGTAGTTGAACTCATCAGACTCACAGAATCAGTATTCGGTCCAACTGGGACACGACTCTGAATTCGCTGGCACGCCGCCATCTGAACTCCTGATTGGCTGCCTGGTTCAGACTTGTGATTGGTGGAGGAGCTGATTAACAGCAGAGCCGCTGTGGTGCATTCTGGGAACAAACAACAACAACAGTGACACCAACATCGTCTCCTTGACCCAGAGCCGGCGGACATCTCCTCCCCCTCCCTCGCCTGCCTCCCGTCTCCCACCTCGGGGTGCGTTCGGGGTCTTCGGGGCCTCTCAGACCTTGACTGACTGATTAATGGACTGGACGGCAGTCAGCTGGTGAGATTACAGAAACGCCGCCTCCTCGTCTGGGGACGCCGCTGCAAAGAGAAACATCCAGCAGCCTCAGTGCCAACCCGTCCTCCCCCACCTACCCTGGAATCTCAGACATTGGGGAAATTAACGTTGGGATGGAGGATGGGGGGGAGGGAGGGGTGAAGGCAAACCGCTTGCCAAGCCATCTGAGATCTTCCTCCTCCTCTTTCTCCTCTTTCGATTTTGTTTGTGCCCGCTGCCGATTCCCCGGCCGGAGTTTTTCGGCTCGGCGTCAAATCCCCGCCGTCCTCACGGATTCTCCAGATCTCATTACAGTCAATGAGGCTGCAAAGACTTTCAGATCAAAGTGAAAGACTGCAGCCTCTGAAGGAGGCATGAGGGCTTTTTTATTTTTTAAATTTTAGGGAGGAATGGAGATGGAGGAGGAGGAGGAGGAGGCGGCGGGGGGAGGAAGAAATGTGCGGATCCAAGCTCCAGTGTCCACATTACGCGTTGGAGAGCAGTGACCCTGGCTCGGCACAAAGGAGGCTCGTCCCACACATCCACCACCACCACCACCCCCTCTCTCTCTCTCTCTCTCTCTTTCCCTCCTCCTCCTCCTTCTTCTTCTTCCTCACTGGAAAACGACACTTTTCACGGGACATTTTACTTACTTTTCGCGTATCTACGAGCGGCGGCGGACTGCGTGTGTCGATATTACCTGGCGGCTTGCCGTCGATGCTGCAGTTCCGCGTCGTAATCCCCAAAGGTACCGAAAAAAGTATATCCTCACACGGCCGTCTGCTCGCTCCCGTGTCCCAGCTATTTAACTGGAGGTAGCAGCAGCAGAAAAGCGATTACAGAAAACCGAGGCAGCCCCGGACCGCCTCCACGCGCGCTCCCGAGCCTGCGCGCACCGCTCGCGCACGTGGGCTGCATTGGTAGCCCGCGCGAGGCCACTGATTAATTAATTAATTAGTTAAAATGCTGAGAGATAGAAAGAAAGAAAGAAAGAAAGAAAGAGTGTCTGTGCTGTGACATGGACGTTGATTATGACTGTGGTTCAGTTTTCTTTAAGGAGCCGTTTTATTCTGTAATTTATTAAACTGATATATTTTATATATATTTCATATTATATTCAAAATTGTACATTCATCCAAACAGTGACCTCAGTAACTGTAAGAAGTTTGGGTAAAATTAGTGATTTGGATGAATTTTGAGCAGATTCTTTTCTGTTTATGAAATTTTCTATCTGAATTAGGCATTTTAATAATTTATTTTTACACTTAATGAGCTTATTTTTTGACATATTCAGCGTTTTCTTGTCCCATTGTTCTATTAGACAGTTTAC